CTCAAACCTTGTAAATGATTGTTCCCGTGAGAAGCCAAATAGCAAATACAAACTATACTATATTATAGAATTGACTATTTTACCATGCACCAGTTGACACACTTTCACGCAGCTTGGTCATTCGGTGTTAAAGTGGTAAGCTATGTTTACAGAGCAAAACCCTTAACTACGTGGACTAAGGTCTATCGGTGGAATTTTTTTCAATACTCATCTACTTCAGTCATTTTGACCACCTGTTTCAATGCCATACCCGTTAGAGCCCAAATCAACTCATAATGGTAGCAAAATGGCTATTTAACCTTTCTAACTTCCCTTTTGAACACTACTTCACAAGAACTCATCACATTATTTTACGTGAGCAAAAAAGTACAGAAACTCGATTCAAGCACCTAGAGCATAGTGAATTAGAACTGAAGTTGAGTGTGAATCACTAGATTTGGCAAATTTAACAAAAAACAGTGGGAAAGACACTAAAGTAGGACATGCGATGTGTGTCCAATGCGGGAACTATTCAATGGAACTGATGCCACCTCTGCCACTAGGAAGTGGGCATAACAGTGACAGTTCAAGGAGCCGAACTGGGCTATACGAGATCGATTGTCCACCAGCGGCCAAAGGGACCTGCGTATGTGACGGTGATACCCATTGGAATCCCATGGTAACGAGCACAATGGACGCAGGTTATTGACACTTAGGCTAGGAAGTCCACTTTAATGAAATGCAATTGTCTTTCTTCTAACATTGGAACCCACGACCGGATTTCACACATTTTTGCCAGCCTCGGAGTATAAAGGTCACCTTAATTAAACTTTTCTCTCCTTTATACGGAAGTTCGTCAGTAACACCTTTTAAGTTTTAAAACTCCATGGTGAACTATCCGCCTTCTTTGTATAATTTTCATTGGTATGAAGCTTAAATAATTGCTCGCCAACATTCAGTACCTTACCTGTAAACCATTGCCACACTGTTGGGCTTTGTAATGCGTACTGATGTTGAAGCACTGCAAACAATAAGTTCGCATCATCACATCTATCTTCAAAAGGAGTAATCAGGTGACACATAATGATCTGACTTAGAGAAAATGGATATTCCGCTGTTGTTGTAGTTGTGTGGCGTGGCACCGCACGGTTTGAAATCCTACTACAAACTAACCCTCAATCACGGCGATTCAGGCCAGTACTGCCTCGAGAAACTGATGTATGTGTCCCAGTGAAAGCAGAGATGTTGATCAGCGAGATCAAGTCTTAATGAAAGTTAGCGCCAATTAGGCTTTGGAAAAACTTTGGATCCGCAAGACAAACCTATGGGTTTTACAGGCCGTGGGTTTTAACGCATGGTTGTGAATTGTATAGCGGGCGAAATTTTCTCCCACCAATTCATTGTTAACAATGTTATCTTTCTTTTCCATTGTTTACACCAGAATTGAAATTCTTCGTCCCCTTTAATGTATTTTTAACATTTGGATCCAAATTAATTTGGATTGTAATGATAAATCCTTCAAACTCACTGGTAACATTGAGAGATCCTGCAAATTTAGAGGTCTGGTATGGATGCGTTTACTTTGTTCACTTCTT